GTGATGATCGACATATATACTGCTGCTGCGCCATGATCGACGTCACCAGCATTTTTTATGGCCGCCCTGGATGATTCTCATTAACCCCCTAGCATCACCACCCTAAAAAATTTCGCTACTATTTCGCCAGCATTCAGAATTCAAGATCCGGTGTAACACGAAAAAACGCAAAAAATCAAAACAAACCAAAAATTCGTTCATAACTTAACATTTTACCTATGAAACTGCTTTCTGCGCATTCCTTGCGAAAATTTGATATTAGGAAAACTTTCTTTAACCTAACTTAATAGCAAAACCTAACATTAATTTAACTGCGAAATTTTTTTTAGCGGAATTTTTTAAGTTGGTGACGCTAGGGTCTTAGGTTGTCATTGATTTTGATCAGACTTTATGCGAGGTAGTTCGATAATGCTAGCTAAGTTTTCGTAATGCTGGTACTTTATATCACGTGTAAAATTTACATGAAAGCAAATTACATGAAATGTAAGATTATAAAATGTAATTTTCAACCCTAATAGCGATTCAAACAATATTTACAGCTAGTTTTTTTTCTTAATATAGGTTATTCGACCAATTTTTTAAAAGCTACAATATATTAGATATAGAGTATACGGACAATAATTATAAAGATCAATGGGTTAAAAATTGTGATTGTAAATTCAAATTTATAGCAATCAGAATGAAAGCCCGCTAATGCTGACCATAAAGATATGGTCAAGATTTATAATGCAAGGCACGTGCCACGAAAAGACATGTGCTTCGCATTATATCCCAACAATAAATCAGTTATCGTCTACAACATAACCGATAACAAATACTTAACTACAGAACTAGTTAATAAAATTCTGTATTTTTGCTCAAAATTATAAAAAATTTTGATAAGTTTGATAACGATAAATGGGTTAAAATTTTTTAAAACTTTGCATAAAGATGTCTTAATAGTTAGCTAAATAAATCTTATAAACCAATAGAGGCATGGCCTCACCTTAACATTAAAAAAAAATAAATCCAATAAACTTTTTTTTTATTTTGATTTTACAGATTTATAAAACCAAAATAAAGTGAATTTAAATTTAATTAACAAAGTGTCAAAATACCTTTATTCAAATTTTAAAATTTTAAACTCTAGACACAAAAGGATCAATCGCAATTTAAGAATTATCGGATCGTTCTCAATAACCAACCTTTTCATTCGCCACCACAAGACTACTTGGTTTAGAAATTCGTGATTTGATTGGCTACGGCCTCTCTCGGAGTCAATTGAATATTTAATTAGAATTGAACACAAAACTAGATAAATAATACAACGTTTACATATAATCATATTATGTACTTATTCACTTTCCCAAAAACAAAAATAGAATTATGCATTGTCCCTTCATTACATAATTCTAATTATATAAAAATCTAAAAATTTGTTCTAAAAATATATACATGCATATATACGTCTCTAAATAAAAATCTAAATAAAAAAAAAAAAGTCCTGCTATTATATGATTACATGAGATTTGATGAATAGAAAGAAGGAAAATTTGCTAAATCTCAGTGTCGACAAGAGTTTTTTAAATCTGAATAAATATTATTTGGACCATCAATCGTATCGATATTCTATATTGAAAATGAGGTCGTCGAAAATGTAACTAAAATTTCTGTTCAAGAGGTTGGATAATATGTTTTGGGAATCGCACACTAAACATATAATTATGACGTCTAAGAATTTAAAAAAGAAGTAGGATAGTTAACTTACTTAAGGTATAACTAAATTTTTAAATATTTGAAATAAAAGAATAAAGCCTACTTTTCAAGAATAATTTCCCATGTATCAGGATTAATCCTAACGGGAGTTTCTCGAACTCGGTCATCAAACATTACGTGGTATCCTCGTTCTGAAAGAACGTCCATGATCATGTCAACAAGATGTTGGTTTTCAAGTTGGTGAGAAGTCCTAAGGTGTATATAATACATTTTTAAGATAAGAATATATACGAGATACAAGATGATATATATTAGAATTCATACGTTCGAATAAGAGCTTGTCCGCTGATAGCGTGGCGTTGAACCATTGGGACAACATTATTGTCCACGAACTCGATTGCTTTCATAAAAAGTTCTGGCTCACTATCTTGGTAATGTTCAAGTCGACTAATTAAATCTTGTCGAGCATGAACACCGATTTTTGTTGCGATTGGGATATGTGCAATTGAATCGTAGGTCTTTTGATCTAAAATGAAATAACGTTTACTAATATTAATAGGGAAAGCATAGATAAAAATATGAATTTGATAGATATGTAACATACCAAGTTCGAGAGAGCTTTGGTACTCAAATTCTTTTAGAATCAATCGCATAACTTCTTCAATCGATCCAACGGCATTAATAAGATCTATGAATGAATGAAATTCAAATGCCTAAAATGTTAAATTACAACATTTATTTTATTATTCATATCATTAGTTTTACTTACGGAAAGGGAAAAGTTTTACAAGCCTCATCAAAGCTCCAAAATGTTCTCTGAATATTTGATAACGTGCTCTGATCAGCTAAAAGTGATATAATAATGATTATTATGTTGATTAAATATACAAACACAAATAAATACACCTTTAGCACAATACTAACCAATTCATCATAATCCGTAACTCGCTCTTCTATAAACTCTCCCTGTCCCGTTCGTCGAACTGTGGCATTATGTTCTCTGATTTGTCGTCCTCGCTGCAATTGGCGAGCGACAGAAACTTCTTCGTCAACGTATAACACACAAATACGAAAAGTTGGACGACTATGTAATTGTCCAGTTTCAAAAATCAATATTCCGAATTGTTCAAACAATTAGTTTAATGATTATACATACGGGAATTTATCTTGTAATAGAGTCCCCCAAAATTCTCGACGCAATTCATGCATCTTATCATAAAGAAGTTTCAGACATTCCACCTGAATTTCTGTACGAGGGAACCCATCCACAAGACAACCCACTGTCGGATCACAATCAAGAAGTGCACGTAACAAATTCTCAAGAACCTTTCCATCGCCTATTAATATAATTTTTTAATTGAATATCATAACTATTAAAATGCATTTAATTTGTAGTTTAAAGTAAACACGCACTAATCATTTTGCCCTTATTTATTAACTCTTGACAATCTGGCGTTATTAAAAGAGACGACATGCTGATCGCAGGATTGGTAATACCACGTGCTTTTAAAATCAAATCTGTATGCGTTCCTTTGCCGCTTCCAGGCGCACCCATTAACCAAATAATCTCTCTTGGAAGACTACATTTATATATTATAAATTTCATGAATACATTAATTAATACTACTCGATTTAATAGTTAAATTATATATATGCGCATAATTTCAGACTTACCAAAGATTTTCTCGACCGTACGCGTCCTCAATATTTTTCCAAGCCTGATTAAATATGAGTTTTGCATTTTTAATTTCATTTACTCTGTATTACAAGATTAGTGAATATATAAATATATATCACATTAGCCATGTATGAGCAATTTAACGCTAAAATGGACAAGTTTTGGTATGACCAAAAACCCTGCCCGGAACTGTTAAAATTATAAAACTTGTTTAAAAGACATCACTAGACTAAAGTGTCATACCTTTGTCTTTCATCTTCTGGTAAATGTTGTTCCCCATTGGTCAAGGCTGGTGATGTAACAATTTCTATATAAAAAAAGATAATTACAATATATAAATCGGATCGGATATATGCTATGTAGTTTATTAATACCATTAACCCAAGCAGTTGCTGTAGGTAAATTTCGAACTACAGTCATATTGGGACGCATTTTTGGAATATCGACATTTGATGGCCGTTGATAAACTCTATCACTTCCTACTAACGATCTAATGCTTTTAGACTTGTCGGCAGCAGACCTCGTGCTAGAATCGCCAATACCTTGTTGAAGTGTTGAAGAAATAAACTTATTTCGCTGTGATAAAGTGGTTCTCTTAGTCTGTTTTAAGACACTCGGAGAATTAAGGAATGAAGGTATTGTGCGTGAGGAAAAACTACGACTCATGTTAGATGAGGCGTTCCTTACACATGATGTAAGGTGATAAGGTTTTAAAACAGAAGACGACATTTCTCTCAAAGAAATGATATCTAATATTCGAAACGCAGGTTTAAAACAAAATTATGTCTAATTGTAGTAGTTCTAGTGGCTTTATGAAGTTCCTCACGCTAGCACGAAGCTATGCCAAAGCCGAAGGGAAAAAGTAAATGGTACTGTGGTGAATAATGATGTGGATATTTTTGGATCTCTAAATCATATGCATTATAAAAGAATGCCAGAATCAATGTTGTAACCATTTTTGGAAACGATTTTTTTGGGAACGTAACGGTAAATCTTTTTAAAACTTTAATTTGTATTTGAATTTCCATATTAGATATTGAGGTGTGTAATTAGACTTTATTATGACATTGAAAAGTGTTTGTTAAACTCGTTACACTCGAATAAACTTATTCGATAAATTATAATACAGTCTGGGAATATACCAAATTAGGAAATCGCATTCTAGAATGATCTACGAATAGATTCTTGATTTTGATTG